AATTCCAGCAGGTCTAGAATTTCCCTGAGCTGTGTTTCTGAAGTAACTGTGTAGAAATATTTGTGCATGCCCAAACTACAAGTAACTAGGGTTTAATTGAGGCATGAAATATGTCTATTAATAGTATCACTTTGTAACCATGAGTTCAAGGAGTTTGAGGATGGTTTTACCAGTTTATTAGCATTCTTTAATTAACAATAGTAGATAGATCATTTTTACCTGTTTTCCCTACAGAGCATTTTCTGCCATTGGGGCTGACTACCTAGCAAGAATACACCCGTGCGGCCAGCAGAATATAAGAAACCTTGGTTAAGACCCCATCATGGACTCCATGGTTCCAAGGCATGCTCTGCATACATTGGTGATTCCCGATCTAAGGCAGAAAGCATCCCCGCAGCCCTTACACACAATCAGAACTCTTGCCTGGGCTCTTGGGACCTCCTGCTGGGAAGTCTTTGTATGGTGCATCCTTACATCTTTACTGTAATGCTGTCCCAGCTGTTCCCTTTCCCTTGAGCGAATGGTAGATTTGTGTGCGTGCAGTTTGGGGTCCTATCATCTTCTTCAGCAGTCATTCCTGACTACCACCATTAGTGCCCTTTCAAGTAATAGATTTCAGTACTTTCTGCATACAATATCATGAATCTGATTATTTTTGAAGCTTGTGTAAGCTGCACTATTATCAGGATAAAGATATTACTCTAAAATGTTTCTTTGTGCCTCTTTCCACCTGATCCCCCTTGCCCCACTCCAGGCAACCAGACTTAATTTATTTCCTGTTTGCTTTTCTGTTCTAGGGAAGCAAAACAGAACATGGTTTCCAAATTTTTCACCTAAGTGCTCCGGGACACTGCCACCCATTCATAACAGTATAGTGGGCTAGTTTACATATTTGATGGAAACACTGATATCACATGAACTACCACGGTTAAACTGTTTGGATCTAACTACTTAATAAACAGAACTGCTAGTTATTTCTTTAGTCTGGAGCATTTTGAAGAAATTACTGATACATCAACTACTTGTTTGAACTAGGATAGTTTCAGAACCTCTGATATATGTCTCACTGGGAAGAAGAACACAGCTATTAATGATGCCTGAATGGTGGGACTGATATCAGTCACAATTACATTGACAGAAAAGAATAACTAGCAAAGGCTATAACAGACAGGCAGTATTTAAGGGTTCATGGCTGAGACAGCTGCTCAAGATGTATATCAGCAATCTAGGCTATCCTGGTCTGCTGTCAGTAGTGTGTGGCTTTCATTTCATAATCACAATATGGTTGGCACACTCCTAGCAACACAACTGCTATCCAGGAAGAAAAAAAAAAAAAAGCAGAAAAGCTGAAAGGTGAACTGACAAAGATATCCTAATATCTAATTTTTTTATAAAGGCCTTAGAAACTAGCCCAGAAACTTCTTCTTGCATCTCATCCCAATGAGGGTTATGTGGTCCCCTCTAACTCAAAGGAGCAAAGGAAATGGAATATTTTTATTTTCTGGATTTTAGAATAAAGGAAGTCAATTGATTCCACTGAGTGCCATAAGAACTTATATATCTCTAAATCTGTTAATACATTATTTGTAAGTTGGCTGTTTTGGTTCATCCTAAGAAAAATTTATGAAATGTTATATTGCTTTTGCTGGGAAGAAAACATCTAGGTTGAGTACTAACTGAAGTAAATTTTCACCATTATGTAAAGGCCCTATATGTAGTGGTTATATCATCATGTAAAATCCTGTTGATTTCATATAATAGTTGGGGTAAAAATGGTCTATTTGTTGGAGTTTGAATTTTTTGAGTACTTAATAGAACATTGCATGAACAGTACTGTACTCAGTCAGACAGCCCGTCCAATTCCATGTCCTCCACCTCACTGAGTGATCAGACTTCCTGATGTAGAAGATATTGAAACTGTCCATGATGGACAATCCATCAACAGCTGGAGTTGGCTCTGCCAGTTTTGAAACAACTAATAAGTTTAAACTACTGACAGCTGTTAGAATTCTGTGGCTAAAACTCAATAATGAAAAACTAAAACTTCTGAACATGTCAAATTGTGTGACTATACTTGGATGTTTAATTCATTCTTCGGACACTAGGTGGTACCAAGAAGGGAATTTAAGGCAGTGTTTGGATTTTATGTGTTAAGCTTGGTGTCTAACATTTTGTGGGACATTTATTACTTTGCTAGATAAATATTCTTTTAAAAATCTTGGAATAAACAGTATACCCAGGGCACATTGTGCACTAGCAGCTCATAGCTGAATAGATAGTGTAAAAGAGAAAGCAGTAAATAAAGAATGTACCCAACAGTTAATGCCATTTGTAATACTTTATTAGTTTTTAACATTTCTAAGATACTTAACTTTCACTGGGAATTAGAAGCAATGTTGGAAGGAATCTTTAAAGAGATAACAACTGAGAACTTTTCAGAATTAGAAAATGACCTGATGAGTCTTTAGACTAAGATAGGACACCCAAGTCTTAAGAAAGATAAATAAAAAACAAGAATGCAGATGCATTATGGTGAAACTGCAGAATACCACAGAAGTAGAAATAAAGAAGCAGATAAAATGAGTTGTTCCGACTGAAGTGAAGATAAAGGGCCTAGAGCCTTGCTGACACCAGACTGTTAGCTCCTAGAAAGTAGGGACCAAATCTTATTTTCTTTAAACTTCTGGTGACTCATTTTTAAGTACTCTCTCACCTTGAAGATCTTATAAGGAAAAATGAAATTCATGTTATGATAGGAGTGTAAATTGCAGTGGTATAAGCATAGAAAGGAGAAAATAATTCTTTTTGAATGGGATCGTGGAGAAGATATAGCCAAGGAAATAGTTTATGATACAAGTATGCAGGATTAAAATAGGCGGCAATAGCCCTAAGCGAGTGGCATGAGCAAAAACCTGGAGGCAAATGCCACGTCTGGGGAGTGTTGAGTAGCCCTACTTGGATGAATTATAGGGGGGATGGGAAGATGCCATGACTCAAGTGAGGACCATGGACTGCTCTGAGCTGCCAATTCAATGCTAGGTTAACCCGGGCCAGATTGAATAGCCACAGAGTTGAATTCTAATCAATGAAATCTGGGGGTTTTTTTCTAAAAGCAAAAATGATCCACTGAGTTTGTTTTTTTGTTTAAACAGGGAATAGTATGATCAGACCTATGCCTTGGAAAGATCAATCTTGCTAGAGGATATAATAAAAGAAGCAGTTACCTTGGGCAAGGAGATCACTTAAAAAGTCAGTGGAATATCGAGACGAGAAGATATGCCTTGTCTTTTTTATGTTTTCAGATTGGGGTGTGTGTGTGTGTGTGTGTGTGCGCAAATAAATAGAATGATACCATATATGCAACATTGGTTTTAAATTCGCAGAATTATTCTAGCCTTGGCATAATGCAATTAACTTTGAAAAATCAGCACTGCCACTTTTTAGCTATGTATTTCAAGGGAAAGTTATTTTAAAAAAATAATTGGCTATCATCTTTCTCATCTTGCCTTCTCTTTAAAATGCATGATTTCTCTGAGAATTAAATGAAATTAATAATGAAACAGCATTGCATATATAAAACCTCCAATTACACTGCTTAGGACATTCAGACAGTAATGGTTGTTGAATAGAGTGCAAGGCTGGAAAATGACATCTGTATCTTCTTATTTAATTTAAACCTTTCCAGAGCCTTTTGCTGCCAGGTAACAGTAGCTTATCCTCTTAGCCATGGGTCAGAGGTGAGCATGTTGTTAAACATCTTTTATGTGACTTAGAGACTCACACATCTATGTGGTGCTCCACCTCTTTTTAACCATGGGCTTTCAAAATATGTACTTTCTTCCTCTGGTCCCATAGAGCTAATCATGCTATATATGATTTGTCCAATATTATTAACAAGGTTGATGCCATTTTTAGAAAACTTTGACCTCTTTGGCAACACTAAGTCTAATTTGAGTCAACAATTTGCAGCTCTTAGGCTACCTAAATAAAAGCAAGTCACCCAGAACATAAAAGAGTCCTCTCTATGAGAACATGGGGGCATATAGCTTCAGTTCTGCATTGCCTGCACAACGGTTTTGAGCAAAGAAAGTTAGACTTTTTTATATTGTTAAATATCTTGAACTAGGATCACTAAGTTGATGCAAAGACACAATATGATCTTGACATTAAATAGGAGTTTCTAATGACTAAAACTGCCAGACAAATAGTATGGGCTATGCTCTCAAATTTAATGGTTTCTCAGCCGCTGGATTTTGCAGAGTGTAATCTGGCCCACTCTTTAGGAGGGGACTGAAGGAACTGTCAACCAACTCAAAGACCACTGAGTTTTAGTCCTGTGAGCTTCAGTGAAACTCTTCTCCCTTCTCCCCTTTGAAGACAGAGTTTTGCTGTATAGTTTTGAGTATTTAAACAGAAAAATAATTTCATATTGATTCATATTGAATAGATTTTAATGACATTCAATTAGAGATGACTACTTGTCAGGTGCCATTGTAAGAAATTTGGCATTTATTTATTTATTACTTATAACAACCATGAAAAATATTATTTTTATACTTTTACAATTACTCAATGACTGCAAATATGTCATTAGTCAACAAACATGATATGTTGTTGAAAGAAATACAAAATATTATATTCAGTGTGTTACCAATTATGGACAACAGTGATTTTTCACAGCTACTCACTTGCTGTACAAGCTACATATATGTACTTCACAATACAGAAAATGATCAGAATTACATATAACAAAATGATCACTGTGGCCATATCTGTCTTATGAATTATGAAAGCTTCTTAATTTCTCTTTGTCTCTTCAGATTTTCTAAATGATTTACAATGATAAGCATTACTTTCATATTCAGAAAACAATTACTCTGTTAATATTTATATATAGCTCTTTAGAAAAATATATAACTCAAGCCGACACAGAGGATAGGTAGGAGAATTTGGCAGTTTCCTGACACAGAAGCAGCTGAGAGAAGGGAGTTCACTCTTACCTAAGTCCAGAACTTTGAGTTGTTCTTTGTCCTACTTTTTTTTTCCAGGCAAGTTTCCCTGCCAGTGATTAGAGGACAGGAGGAGGAAGAATGGCCCAGTCCCTTAATGATGACAAATAGCAGCTTTGGTCCCTACCTGAGAGGCTGCGGTAACCTGGGGCTGCCTTTTGTGCGTGCCCATGGGCGGCACGCAGGAGTTCAGCTGGGTAGCTGGGACCTGGCGAAGCTTCAATTTGGCGTGTGTCTGACATTGTTTGGGGAACACTCTGTGCCCGTGGAGGCACACTCCTCTCCCAGGGACTCGAGCTAAGGAAACAATAGTTCCTGGTGCCAAGGCTCCTGGCCTTATCTGTAAATCACTTACTCTTTTTCTCGTCTCCTACGGAGTGCTTAGACCTTAGCTCAGCGCTTGAGCAGGCACAACTCACCAATTTTTCACTGACAAGACAAAATAAGGATTTAGCTTATTCTAAAACTGTCAAGTCCTTTATTTGAATATCTTTTTGACCTATTGGTGATTAGTACTACCAAGAACATGAGTGTGTGCCCGCTTGCATGTATGTGTATGTATTTATAGCTATATATACAGGATTACAAATCAATATAAATGTAAGAATTATAATATTTTTTAATCACAATTTTTACATTAGCTGATTTAATCCTTTCTATATCTCTGCATATTAGGTTGAAAATGTTGGTAGAAAAATTGGAGAAAAGAGGGTAATAGGACTTTTGTTTTTAATGTTCATTTTTAGTGGAGGAAGCCATTAGTGATTACCTAATTCTACTTGTACATTTGTAGAGGTGAAAATGAACACTACAGAATCTTGAGAGAATCTGTCAATGTCAGAAAGCTAGGTCACTGAAGAATTAGGCTAAAAGCTTAATCCTCCAACTTTAATTCATTACTCTTTACACCAAATCCCTTAGGAGTGGCTATCTCAGTATCCACAAAACAACTGGAAAATATAATTTATATTTCTATCATTATTATAATAATTACCCCAGGAAAAATTGCTGCATGTATTTACAGGGATTATCTTCATGGCATGAGATTATTGGTGATTGTATTATCTTGGATATTATCTGAATTTTCCAAAATTTATGTGTCTTAACATATAGATTAGCCACATTGTTTTGAGCACTCAGCTAAGCACTTCATGCATCAGTTTTGTCATTTAATTCTTGTAGCCTATCTCAATAATAGGTTCTTGAAATGTATGTTGAATATTCTAGAACCAAAAATAACAGTACTAAGAGGTTACTCTAAAAAGGCATTCTTTTTCTTCCTAAAATTCCTCTTGAGGGCCTGTCTGAATTCAAGTCCAATATTATCCTAGTAACAGTGAGTGATTCCAGATATGTTTTCCTAAAAAACCACTTAGCAATCTAAAGAGGAAGGTTCTATTGTGAATGCATCAGACTGCTCCCAGGTCACTGACCAGGAACATTTACCAACAAGGTCAATAGACAGGCAGCTGAGTTGATTGCTTTTAAAATCTGTGCAAATAAACAAAGACTTAAAATGATCAATTGTATCCATACCCATTAATTATTAAACATTAAAGACTCTAAAATTAACAGCTGAAGTAGAGGAACTTTGTGGTATGTTTCAAGCTTTCTTTTATTTAATAAAATACTCCACCTTCCTTGGCTTGCTGTCTGACACAAGGCCCAAGGTTGCAATTTAAACAACAGTAGAAATCCACTTGTGCTTTGAGGGGCCCCTAGGGTGCTGCCAGGGTTAATAAGTAACTGTACAGACTGTCTCGTATTCAGACCTGGAGAAGTAACTGTCTCAATTTTGCCTAGGACCAGAAGGGCCAGGAGACTCCCTGTGTTTGGTTTGCTCAGGCTCATGCTTTGCAGTGGGGACTTCTATGCCTAGGAAATGACTTTTGGAGTTGAGTAGGATTTAAGACCTGTAGGAAGAAGGGTTCTCTTACAGTTTGGCAGTTCTGGGTTTCAGAAGCTCCAACCTGAATAAGAATGCAAGTTGCCAGTTTGTCTCTTGACCTGCTGCTGGTCTCCCATAGCCTTGGGTCCACAGGAAGCAGATACGGCCATGGTCATTGAGAAGTCAAAAAAAGAAGCAGTCCAGACACACATGAGATCATTTTCTAAGCACCACACTCTGACTGTCTCTCCCTGAGTCAGAACCAGCTCCATGAGTGCCCCACATGCTCTTCTAAGGGGTCAGAGTTAAACCCTGAGTGAGGAAGTCTGCTGGTCAGTCCTCCAGTCCTCTCTGTGCCTGATCCCCGAGGAGCCAAGATTCCCTCTGGATCTTGAGCTGTCTTCAGAACTCAAAGAACTCTTTCCTCAAAGAGCTCAGGTGTGCTGTCCCAGTCAGCAGCCACTGTCATCGTCACTGTCTGGAGTTAAGAGACCAGAAGAGTTGCCCCTGGTTCAGAATCAAATTTAGGGGTCCCACAGACTAGCATAGTCTGCAGAAAGTAAGAGGAGAAGTCTCTTCATTCTGGATAAGCAACCCAGATCTCCAGTCCTTCACTGACTAGTTGCTAGTTTTGACTCCTGACACTGTAACTCTGGTTTGGCTGCCTAACAACTAAGAGTTCCACTGCCAATCTGGGCACCGAACCCTAGCTGCTTGCCTGCCCACATGCTTGGTCATCCACTGAATTATCTCCTCCTTGACCTCCATGACACCAAACACCTGTGTGGGTGGCCTACATTTGCCTATCACTGGACCGTATTTCCAGCCTACAGGACTTTCTTTGTTTCATACCACTTTTATCACATTCTTCTCCACTGCCTCTCTTCCATGGACACCCACACACTCTATTTCACCACTGATGGAAACTTTGATGTATGTTTGTAAGCTGAGGAGTTATCTATTTGGCCATTAAATGTTATCTTTTTATGACGTTAAAATTTAATAATCAGAATCATTTTTGGAGTGTAAATCAAGGGAGATCTACAAAGCTAGGACAACAGCTGGTACTGTAAAAACAAACCAAAGCAAAATACCTGTTGGGGAGTCACTAGATATGAGTACATGTCCGGTATCATTGTGATATCAGGAGGAAACCTTTGTTATTTCTACTGTGGTTATCAGTTTTCTCATCTATAAAAGGAAGCCATTGGACTCACTGTCCTCTAGAGTCCTAAGCACAGTTCCCCTAAAAACCTCCTTTTCAAAAAAGGCAAAATGTGCATTAACATGTAATCTTAAATGAGAAGATGGGCATCAAAGCAAAGTACAACTGTGGCCTAGACATGGGCCAAGGAGCATCCTCCCACTTGACTGGTGGGTTCTGCCTGCATGAACTTCAGGTGAGGGCAGAGGACAGAGTTACACTGACCATGTGCGCTTACCCTCACACAGAGTTTTGACCACTTTGTGGAGAAGCCACCTTTTTCCAGGTGGGATAGACCCCTTCTCTGAGTCACCAGACAGCCCTTGCTAACTGTAGCAGTCAAGGGAATGAGAATATTATCCTTGGAGGAATGGATCATCTATTTTTTTCAGAACCACAAGGAAATTTACAAATAACCTTTACTCCATTTTTCTCAACCCTCTAAGACATCATATTGTAATTCCTCCTTGAAATAGTATCAGCGCTCAGACTTAATTGTGTCCTGAAAGGTGTGATCCAATTTCAATAGCTCACATAAAAGTGACTACTTTTGTCACTTTTCTGTGTGTAGCCTCTCACTGATATTTTCATGTGCATCATCTCACTTCACTTTATTCCCAGATTAGCTCCCCAAGCAGGTGGGAAAGATTATCATTTAACTGATGAGGAACCAGACACTCACAAAAATGAAGGAATTGCTCAAGTTCACATAGCTAAAAATCCAGATTTCAGATTTTCTGACTCCAGAGGAGTGCTTTTTCTCCATATTGCATGTTATTTCTCATATCAGAATGCTATCAGCAGCCAGACTTTATTGGCCATCTATCATAACCATATTTTTATAAGCCATTATGCATTTCTAATGTCACAAACAAAAGCAAGGATATCATCCCACTTCTCTCTACATAACCCAAGTCACTCAGGTACCTCTCTAATAAAGGGGATGGCTTCCCACAGTGGCTTTTGCTAGTTTCCTAATACCTTTATATCAGCCAAAATTTACCCATGATGAGGGCTGAACAGGTCTCACAGGAAACATGTTGTTAATTCCAAATTATCGCCAGCAGATGGCGCTCTGCATTAGCAAACATCCTGCTTGGTTAAATTCCTCAGGGATGTGGGGTGACAAACCTGAATGAGATACACTCTGAAGTAACAATGTTGAATGGCTGATGCAAGAAAAAGGCACATCTGTAAGGAATTAAAGAAAGGGGTACAAAGATGTGAGGTAACTCTGACAAGTCATCTGAAACAGCTTGTTGGGCTTTTTCTTAGAATAGTGCTGGTGAGTCAAATCAAACAGAAATTCTTTTGACCCCAGTGGAGAGGTACTCACTAATACAGGCAAATGCTTGCACCCTGTTTGCATCAACATAGGTCTAGAAATGTTAAATAATTGTCCATTTATTCCCCAATATGAGAACTTCTTTTTCCTCTGACCCTTATTCTTCTCCATTTCTAGATTCTGCTCTTGATGCAAAGAAAGCTCTCTTCCTCCAACCTGTATTTCTATCTATAATTTAAGGGCCAGATCTAAGTAACATTTTTCTTGAAATCACCTTTGACAGAAGTAGGGACTCAAAGGACCTATTTGTTTTATCTCAACATTCCTAGAACTTGGCTTTGCTCAATAAATATTAGCTAATGTTGAATAATTGACTAGTGACTCACTATCATTACAGCTGTGCCCTTCCACGTATCTTAGTTTCTTTCAATGTCCACCAAGCCATGTTTGTGGGTAACTCCTCACGTCTGGGTGAGAGCCTGCGAGGAAAAGCAGTTAAACACGATGTTCAGGAAGACAGACTGCAGTCAGGTTTTCCGAGTTCAAATCCTCGGTCTACCCTTTCCTAGCTGTGAACGCTTGGGCAATTTACTTAGTCTCTCTTTGCCCCATTCTCATCTGTAAAGAGGGACTAGAAGTAGTACCTGTATCATTGTGTGGTTGTGATATTACATTCATTAATACAGTTATTAAGGGATGTTAGTAATACAGTTATGCGTAAAGCAGTTATTAAGGAATTGTTTATTAAGGAATTATTAAGGAAATGCTACTATTGTTTATTTTCATTTCACT